TTTTGTCCAGTGGTTTTTGTCTAGTGTTGCTTTCTCTGTCTAGTGCTCTTTCTCCCTTTTTCCTCTCGTTTTCTTGTGTCAATCTCCTCGGATTGAGAGCAGGTTAGATTGTGCGCGCCCCTACATTCCACCATGTAGGTAAACTCTGCTGTCTAGACACACTAGGTTAGAAGGCGGGTGCCATCCCCTGTATTGTTGAGAAGGTTAGCCTAGTGTAGTTAGTTAGTTTTCACTCCCTGTGTTGGTAGTTAGGCTAGACTTTAACAACAATACAGCTTAGGATAGTTTTTGTTTTATTCTGTCCATTCCTTTGTGCTTGTAAGTCCTACATCATTGTGTGTAGTCACTGTCTTTGTAACGGCACAGAATGAGTCAGATGCTCGCGGTAAAGATGATCAAGAGAGGCTTTACTGAGGGAAATGTGAAACAGTTTCGTAGTCAAAAAGCAGGCGTGGGTCAAAACCAGAAAATACAACCAGATCAAAAACATAACGATTAGCAGAACAATCCGAAGGGTTAGGCAAAAGGACAAATTCCAGAAGACAGTCCAAAAGAGTGAGAGAACAAAAGGCAGACAATCCAAAGGGTTAGGCAAAAGACAGAGTCAAGAAAAACAGGCAAAATGGTCATAAGCAGAAAAGCAGATATACAGTAGAACGTTTAGCAGGTCGAAAATGATACAATGCTTCATAACCTTTCTATGCTAAAGCCTGAGCTTATAAGCTAAACTAAAAATATCACATGACCTATGAAATAGGTGAACCGAATTAGTATTCGGGAGAGTGAGAGCGCTGAGTGGAGCATGAAGGCAGTCCAGAGGTCGCAGGAGTCATGTGATTTCCTTGAGGATTCTGGAAGACGGAGTCCAAGTGAGAGTCAGAGCCTGAAGGGATGTGTGACAGTCTTGAATAAAATAATTTTTTTGCCTTATCCTGCCTCTCCTGCCAGTTACTCCACACTCACCGGTACTCCTACCATTTCTCCAAATTTACATCAATCTATCTAGTTAATTTGTTAACATCTCTACTTATCTACGGTGGTGTGGAATGGATCCTCAGACACTCTTGCGCCGTGGGTTTACTCTGTGTCATCAGGAGCACCTTCGCTGCAGCAGTGGGGCAGGCAGATGTTTGAAGCAGCCCCACTCAGCGACCTAAGATTTCTATCTACAAGTTACATCATAACAGGGTTTTTGTAGTCTTTACAATAGAAATTATCTCAGTAACGACTCATTCAACACCGCCTTAAGATGCAAGAAGGCACATTTACTACAAATGTAATAATTACATTTTTAATTTTGGTTGGAGTGCCCCTTTATGGCATCAAGAGAGCAATCATCTAATACCTTGTCATTGCCACTAGGCTTCAGGATGTCTCATGAATGACTGTCCAGCCACTTAAAGAGGAATACATCTCAAGCAGGCTGGAAATAGGCAATTTAATTATTTTATTATTACTTTGACCTCAAATGAGAGTCTAGGGTAACCCGGGTCATCTATCCCAAACCGACCACAGGAAGTAAGGAAACACGATCACGCGAAGGATGTTTAGATCAAAAGGCAATTTATTGAGCTAAATATCAAATAACAAGATTCAAACTACTTTCTACGATATAGTTCATGGAAGGAGAAGCAGACAGAGCTCAGATAAGGTAATCAACCACTGGAATGGCATTAACCAATAAGACTTAGGGGAACTCCTTCTGGAGGAAGGGCGACTTCGAAACTTTAAGGCATGAATGTAAGGGAAATCTAAAGGGAAACTGGACCTCACCGGTGGTGTGGAATGGATCCTCTGCGTCATCAGGAGCAGCTGCACTGCAGCAGCAGGGTAGGCAGATGTTTGAAGCTGCCTTATTCAGTGACTGGGCTGGTTGCGTTTCATGGTGGCTCAAGGAGGAGGGCTTAACCACTTCCCAGGTGGTGGGTCTGCCCTTGACAGCGAGTGTGTGAGTGGGAGAAGTGCCAGGTTGTGTGGAAGCACAGTTTTGGGGATCGGGGCAACGGTTCTGGGCACAGTCAGATTTTGAGCCTGTGTGATGCTAACTGTAAACTAATTTTCTTGGCTGTGCTGAGATAAAAGTGAGGTAATCGGTCATGGGCCACGTGACAGACTTCTTCGACTCTATTTCATGTTATGAGCAGACTTAAGGCGGATACAAACAGAACAAACTTGTAGACAAACAAAACACAAGTTTTGAACACTGGTCCGGTGAAAATCGAGAGTCTTGGTCTTTTTCCAAAATGTTCTGCTCCACCACTTTTGCAGGTGTAACCCACCCCCTGTTTTGTGTCTCTCTCTGTCAGCCTGCATTCTGATAACAGGTGAAACTAAACTCAGTACAGCTCTTTGTTTGTGGTTCTTTTCTGATGCTGCTTTACATGAAGTTCCAGTAAACACATCAACAAAGATGCACAGATATATTACAGAAACAGATTCCAGTCTGTTATCTAACTCAACAGACCATGAAATTTACTTATATTTTCCATAATGTCTTGCACAATGCAAAGAGTGCTAGGGATGGCACAAAAGAAGATCTACTTAACGAAAGCAGTGCAAGACAAGGTGTCCCCAGTGTTCCCCTTTGTGTGTCTGTTTCTGCCCCTCTATCATAGCCATGTGCTCTTCCGCCATGTGCTTCTCATGCAACATCAGTTTCTGACCTCACAAATTCTCTTTCGACTGAATGGGCACTAATTCCCACAGAGACACTCCAATTTTTGTAGAAAGCCTTCTCAGAGGCTGTTATAGCTGCAAACAGGGGCCATTTTCATATTAATGCTCATGGTTTTGGAATGAGACATCCAAGAAGCTCAAATAGGTGTGATCCACATACCGTTCAAGGGTCAAGTGTCCACATACTTTTGGCCATATAGTGTATTTGGCTTAGCACAATCACTATTATTTTTTATTTATTTATTTTTTTATTTTATTTTATTTATTTTTTTTACTGTGGCACTGTACTTTGAACAAATTTGTTATGATGCTCCATACATGACTGGACATTTATTTGTTTGTCTAATAAAGTGAGTCACAGAGTTGGCTAAATGGAATGGCATTTCCTAGTGGAAACCTGTGTGCGCAGTGGATACATCTTAAAGTAGCTGAGCTCACTCATTAAAATGGGTGTCTGGATAATTTTGAGTATGTAGTGTACCATTCTGTATACTGGGTGCAGTAGTTTTGTCCCTCTTAAAGCTATTTTAGCCATTTCAAAATATAGTTTACTGGGATTTCCACTGAAATAGCTGTTGAAAATAGCACAAGATAAAATCCAAACCAGAGCCCAGAGGTCAGTCAGGGCAGCTTCTGAAAAATCAGTCTACGTTCTGATAACAGATGAGACTCAGTACAGCTCTTTGTTTTTTGTTTCTTGGTGCAGCTTTACATGAAGATCCAGTGAACGAACACAAAGGAAAACAAATGAACAAAGATCCACTGTTACAGTAAACAGGTAGCACGTTCAGGTCTGTTATCTAATCTAACAGAGTTTGAAATTTACATATTGCTGTTTTCATATGCTGAAAGCTGGTGCTGGTGCTAGATGATTAAATCAAATCAAATCAGATTTATTGTCACATCACAAGAGTACAGGGACACAGGTGAGTGAAAAACTTGAGTGCGAGTTCCACAAATTATGCAGAGAACAGTATTTACACATAGATAAACAAAACTATAGATAGGATAGAAGAATAGATAAAACCAATTTAACTAAAATATATACATATAATCTTACACAATAACTTAAAAATAATAATATTGCACCGAGACATATAATATTGCACTGGGAATGTAGGGTGGGTGTAATCAACTATATACTATATATAGTAATGGATATTACAATGCTATGTGGATGTGCAAATAATCACACTAGGTGTGGAGGTAGAAGATGGTACAGTAGGTGACAGAGTATTTAGTAAAGTGCAAGGTACAGGAAGTTAAGTGGAAGCGCAGGGGGAGAGTATTGTCTTTGGATAGGTATTCAAAGTCCAGCTATGCAAGTAAAGTGCGGGAGTACAGTGGGTGCACGTACGTGTAATGGGAAGGGTTGGGCTGGGCAGAGCAGTGATTACTTGCTGTTCAATAGCCTGGTTGCATGGGGGAAGAAGCTGTCTTTGAGCCGACTGGTTCTGGCTTTTAAGCTTCTGAGCCTCCTACCACTCGGCAGCTGAGAGAACAGACAGTGACTAGGATGGGAGGGGTCCTTCATAATCCTTTTGGATTTCCTCAGGCAGCGACTGGTGTATAAATCCAATAGGTTAGGGAGCTGAACCCCGGTGATGGACTGTGCTGTCCGCACCACCCTCTGCAGAGATTTCCTCTCACGAACAGTACAGTTCCCGTACCAGGTGGTGATGCTGCCCGTCAGGATGCTTTCCACAGTGCAGGTGTAGAAGGTCTTAAGGATGCTGGGGTTCAGGCCAAACCTCCTCAGCCTTCTGAGGAAGTAGAGGCGCTGGTGGGCCTTCTTCACCACCTGTGAGGTGTGCACTGCCCATGTCAGGTCCTCGCTGATGTGAACACCGAGAAACTTAAAGCTGCTGACCCTCTCTACCACAGTCCCATTGATGGAAATAACGGGAGCTCGCAACACGGCAGCCATACTCGGCGCCATCTTGGAATCACAAGTAAAATGATGACATTGGATGTCAACACAGATAATAATAAACTAATTTATCATTATTGCTGAATTGGGCCTGGGAGGGCCTACACCCTGCTTTGTTAGCTTCAGGTAGACTACTGTCTCTAGATTCCCAAGTTTCTAAAGCTCAAGTTTATTAGTTAACACTTCAGCTTCTAGCTGACATAGTTCATGGACAATCTTGTTGTAGATTTTTTGCAATTTTTTCTTTACAATCTCTCTTCAGTCCTCTGTTTTTATTAAATTATGTAAATGTACAGGGAAAAAATCATTCTTTTAACATTAAATTGCTTGTAAGTGAATGTTGTTACTAAAAGATTTTAATGTACATATTGTGGGGTCGTGCAGAAAAAGAATCAGCTGAAACCACAGTTTCTGTTTAAAACCATTCTTTTACTTGGAAAAAGGCAGAAAAGCCACTGAAAACCAGCCAGAATAGTGAGAAGGTCACACACACATCCACTTTAGAGTTAGCACACTAAATAGCTAATAGAATAACAGAATAAATCATATCCAAACACAATCTAAGCTAAGAGCACAACAATAACAACAACAAAAACAACAGCAGTCATTTACTGGGCGTGCGCCTCCCATGAGCCTCTCCGCATGGCCAAATGCATGGCCATTCCTGATGATGTCCTAGAGGCAACATGGCCCGTGGCAGACACCACAGTATTTCATAGAGAAGTTTAATGTGAGTGAGGTGGATCAGTCCATAATCACCTTACTAACAGTGAACACAGGCATTTAATGTGTTTTTGTCATCATTTAAATGCAAATTTTTAATAATTTAATTTTAAGTTAAAATACAAAGCCCTTTGCCTTTTACAGAAATTATATATATATATATATATATATAATTATGTATAAAACAACAGCCTTTTCATTGCTTTTAAAAAGGTAATAGAACATAAATTGGTGAGTTGGTTACCAGTGGACAAAAACAAAGCTTCTTTGTAAATCGAGTGGGATGAAAAGCAGCAACAACATAAAGCAATGAATGCATTTACATGCAATTAATAATCTAATAACTGCAGAAAATCAGATTTTTTCAGCAATCTGATGAAGGTGTTTACATGCACTTGAGTAATCAGATAATGGGGAGACCCCGGGTCTACATGAGTCAGACAGTAATCAGATTTCTGCTTTGTAAACTCACGAAAGAAGACGTGACGTAAATGTAACGTAAAACTCAAACATTGCACCCCTTTACCAAAAATACAAACATGCATCATCTAGAAGATGCATATTTAAACCTATCATTTTGTCATGTGTTTGGTTTTAGCATCGCTCCGTAAGTATTTTGCTGCTTGCTTATTTCCAGTGCAGCGGTCTGTTTTCACACATGCGCAGACTGAGAAATATGAAAGAAATCAGAGTAAGAGTTTACATGCACTGAGAAATCTGATTACTGAGCTAAAATCCAGCTCTCTTAGTCGGATTTAGACCTTACACTGATCTAAGAAATTGGAATGTGCTGTTTACATGACCATTTGAATAATCAATTATGATCGGATTATTGAGTGCATGTAAACGCACTCAGTGTTACCTGCCGTGCAATAGGCGTGTAGAATCTTCAGCACAGTTTATCTATTTTTAAGTCCAGTCAAGAAGAATTATAAAGTACAATCTAGACAGGTATTACTGACACTTTCAACATATATACATTATATATCCAATAGTATGCAGCAACTATAACAAATTCACCTAGTAGTTGTAGTGTAGTGGGTAACACCTCTGCTGTAGACTGTGGTGCGATCCCCTGCCTGGGCAAACACCCTAACCTATACAGATAGGAGTCCTTGGTTAAGACTCCTAAAATTCCATTCACTACACGCACTATGAAGCTTCATCAAATACCTTTGGAATGAGCTGGAGTGATCAAGAACTAACATCATCAATACCACCATTCAACATCCACCTGACCTCCTGTAGTCCTCACAGCAATGTTTCAACATATAGTGTAAAGCCTTCGTAGATGAGTAGATGCTGGTACTGCGGCAAAGGGGGGCAAACTTGCTATTAAGGCCCTCAATTTCAGAAGAAGCATTGGATGAAAAATCGTCTACAAACTTTTGGACATATAATGTGTACATGAATTATTAAATTATATACATTTAAGTTACCTTACACAATGAAAAGGGACACCTAAAGGCCATTAGTCAACAGCATAAAGAGATTTGTGGAGCTGCTAAGTATTGGGAAGTTTTTAAAAAAGAAAACAAATTCAGACAAATTCAGTAATGACATAACAAGATTGTAATGAAATGAAAAGTACAGTAGGTAGATCCAGCTTCATTGATGGTTGCCTGAATCCTTAATCTAAAGCTCTGAAATGAAACAAATAAGAAATTATAATTTCATATCTGAATATGGATATCTTTGCTGTTAGTATATTGTTGCTGTCCAAAGAAAACAAGTATCTCCAAAATAGTAACTTTACAGGAGAGGGCAAAAGCTCTGACCTTTCAATGTAATTTAATGTAAAGAGGTTTTGCTCCAATAGCATTACTATTGGTCCATTCATCATGAAATGTTCATACAATGTAAAGGACAGCTGGTTTGTTGAAATGATGTAGAAAAATAAAAAACGACAAAAAAAAAGAGATACATGGTTTTCTTTGAACAGTGATGATATGCAGAAGCCTTGGTCTCACCTTCAGAGGTGGTGCAGATGAAGTTGAGTCTCTGGTCCTCTGGCAGACTGACCCACTTCTTACTTCCAGACTGCACCGCTCCTGATCTTTCTCCTCCACTGCAGTCTTCCACCCCTGTCCCGTTCCCCGGAGCCCAGTTCTGGTAGCAGATGGTCGATCCACTCACCCAGAACCAGAAGTTCTGAGCACAGGTGTGACGCAGACCCATCCACACATTAGCAGTGGAGGGTTTGCTAGTAATCATCTCCACCCAGTGCTGAATTTTCTCAGTGTGAACTGAGACCAGATCCACATGATTCTCTCTGCAGTATCTCAGAGCTTCTCTCCACGTCTTATTCTGATTAATCAGGATGAGCGGAAGGTCTTGAGGCGAGAAAGAACAAGAGTTTTAACATTATTACATTAGATAATCACCTTTTTTCAGTACACCGTAGGTTCACTGTGTATCACTACTTGTTCCCATTGTGTTTTTAGTGTAGCCTGTATCTACATTAGTCTGAAGCGGTCTGGCTTCTGAACTGACCTACATGTGCAAAAGAGCAACCAGTGTCAGGCAGCCCAGCCCAGTCCCCTCGACGAACCCATGCCTACTGAGCTTGACCCAGGAACACAGACACCACCCTCAAACACACGGCAGCTTGCGAGGCCCAGCCCCAAATCTCTCCTCGCTCTGACTTCTCATGAGGGGGAGAAGAGCACAGAAGTGAGTAGGGAAGATGAGAGCAACAGTTCCCTGTTTTCTCTCTCCCTCTCTGACCTTGTATAGGGGCTGAGCTGGACCCTACACCTTGGATCAACTTGCCTCAGACAGAGACTCCCTCACCTCACACCTGGAGAGAAGCGACCAGCCTTAACTGCTTTTAAAGAGACTGTATGTCCTCTATTGAGTATTGTTGATTTCTTTTGCTGACTTCTGTGTACTTTGTGAGACTTAATAAAATTGGCCCAGAGCTGTCCTGAACTGAATTCCCTTCTCACTGTGGTGTCCCTCTCGTCAAATGCTCCACAGTGCATAAAACAACAGAAATTTATAAGTGCATCTCAGCAGGGAGAGATAAAATACAAAAAGGTGTATTTTACAGAAGAGAAGAGTTACAGTTTTCTGTGCATGTTTTAATTGTGGAAGACGAGCAAACACAAAAAGGAAGCACGGTTATTTTCAGGTTTCATGAATAACAAGGTCTGAGTGCCAAAAGTAATAAAAACCCAGATTAAAAGACATGCAAATTAAGATTAATTGAATAACATGGCTGGAGACTAAATACTTCACAAGAACTCCACTGACAAAATAATTCACAAAGTAGTTATACAAGTTGAGACTTCTTTAGTTTATAACTCTTCAGGGTCAGGAAAATAGTAAGTAGATCTCAGCATCTGTTCAGAAAACAGATGACTACAATGTCAAGTAGTTTTATTAGAATCATGATTATTTATCAGTTTAATATTTTCTGAATATCTGTTCTGACTCATTTACTTTTTTGTTTTATTTACATTTGAAGAATCTTTGATTTGATTCAAATTGATTTTTAGGATATATACTTTTCGGGTCAGTTCAGGTGATCATTTTTCTTTTTGTTGATGTCATGTTTTTGTTGATTTTCTGAGTGAAAATAAGTAATAAATAAGTAATAAATAACAGTAATTTGACTGAATTTGTTAAAACGTTTGCACAAGACTGCAGGTATCTGACTTCAGGAATTAAAAATGTCAGAATTAATTTTTGCTTTACCCTGTAAAGATAAAAGCACTATAATAATTCACTATTTAGATCTGCTTGCATTAGAGTCAGTGTAACTGCTTCAAACATAAACATTAAAAGCTGAATGAACTGGATCTGGAACAGATGTTCTGCATTTCATCATCTTATATTACTCACCTATATAGCAGATAAATGGATTTGGCCAAACGCAGCCTGCATCAATCCATCTGTATGCAAAATCACTTTGTAACTGCACACAGTTGTCACTCCCAGTGTTGTTTGGCTCTCCAGGTTTCCAGTATCTGTATGAGGAGTTACTCCCATCTGACCAGATCCAGCTCTAGAAACACATTAATACCTGATCAGTAAACTTTTTTGACCTCTCAGCAGTCATCATACAAAAATGCTAAACACATTTTAAAAAGTCATCATAAAATTAGGAGCATGTGCATAAAAATCCTATTTTGGTAGTGTAACGTGCGACCAGAGAGCAGACGCTCGCAGATGTAAAAAAGTGATGAAGCTTTACTAGAGTTATTGTCGTTGGTACACAGGCACAGCAAAATACACTGAAAGCGATCAAACACAACAGGGCTAGGCAGATCAAAGTCCAGAGTACAGGCAAAAGTCCAAAACCAGATATCAATCCAACCAGGCAACAGTACAAAAGGGCAAATCCGAAAATCCAAGAAACCAATCCAGAAACACAAGGTCATAACAGGGGAGATCAAAAAACCAGAATGAACGCTCAGTAGTTTTCAAGAAAACAATACCTCGCAAAGGTCCTATGCTAAGCCCGGGCTAATATACTAAACTAAACAGATCACATGACAAACACACAGGTGAGAGTGATCAGTATTCCGGAGAGCTAGAGCGGCGATTGGTTGCTGCTGCTCTTCCTGGTGTCATGTGATGAAGCGGAGGATTCTGGGAATTGTAGTTTGGAGGCTGGCTGGCCGAATACGTGACAGGTAGTCAATATTTAAATGATTTTCATAATGTAGTGACAAAATAAGTAAATAAATAAATGGTATTTCATAGTATAAATAATTGTATAAATAGTACATTTATAAATAGTGAAATAACAAAAAAGAGCAGGCGCAGTGATACATGAACATCTGCCATCGCTGGTTTTGGAGCAAGTTTGGTCATCTATTCTACTGATTTACTTTTCAGTTCTATTCTCTAAATGTACATTTCTTACAGTGCTGTTCTGTTGAACTTTCTGCCTCAGTCCGATCCAGAAATTGCCTGTTGACCCATTGAGAAAAGCTGTTACAACATTCATCTGCCCTTGGCTCTGAATGGTGGCCAGGTCAATGTATTTCTCTCTGCAGTATTTCTGAGCGTCGATCCAGTTCTTATTTACATTCACCACATGAAACTGACGAGTCCCACAGAAGGAGAGAGTCCACAGAGCTGTAGAGATGAAAGCTCTCATCAGCATGACAGTACAGTAATGAAGCAGCAGAGAGTTTTACAGATGATCATGAAGCTACACTGACCTGAGAAAAGCAGGATCAGATACAGAGCTGAACTCATGACTGTGGAGAACAAGAGAGACACAGTTCACACATTAAACACCTCAACAGTCTTTACTACCAGCACATTAGATCAGGCTGCTTAAGTGATGTTCCATTTAATTAAAGTAATTTAAGTAACTGAGTTGTCTCTTCCTCATTTGACACTGAAAAAAAATTATACAATCAAAGTGGTATCATACAACACATATGGATGAACGATTTGCTGAACAGCTCTCTGTGGGCTTACCTGATCTGCCAAAGAACAACAAGGTGCTCCCAAACCCTTAATTAATAGTAGGGATGTGCCAGTATTTGAATATTGCAATCACTATTCAGCTACTCATTGTGCTTCATTGCACTACAAGACTGAGAAAATATACAGGCCAACAGTTCAGTGAAACCCTGGGTTTATGTTTTAACAGAGCTGTAAAATGTAATAGTTTGCTTGTATTTGTTTGTACGTTATACTTTGGTCCTTTGGTGACTGTTTGAACATGAGATCTAAAGGACATAACAGACAGCGCAGCCTTTATTGGTATATAGGCCAGGGTGACGTTAGCCAGGTCCAGAAACAGTTCAAATATTTCTGACACAAACTAACATGTTTGTACATCATCTGAGAGGAAGAAAAAACCTGATGAGAAAATAGACAACTAGTCCTCATCAGCATTAAGTGCTGTACTATAGTTTTCACTATATATATAGTTATATAAACTATAGTTTAAACTATAGTTTGCCTTCTCCATGATGTTACTGTCACTATTGCCCCAGGGCTTCCCCTCTGCACCTCCAGAGGTCACTCTGACCACAATTTTGAGAACTCGTGGCTACACCTGACGTTCAGTATTCGGTGTAATTAGTAACCTTTTTAAAACCCTCTGCATGAAATAACAGAAATAACTGGTCATTCGTACTTTTATTTTTTTATTTTAATGACTTTTGAAAGTCATGCAGCTGGTCCAAAATGAGCTGTGAGGCTCCTAACAGGTACTAAAAAAGTTAGAGAATTACCCCTGAACTTACCTCCATGCACTCGTTACCAGTTAGATACAGAGTTGAATTTAAGGTTTTATTATTCATTTTTAAGTCTGTACATATTATGACTCCAAGTTATATTTCTGATCTCCTCAGCCTCTGTTGTCCCTCTCAAGCCCTATGATAGTCTAGCCAGAGGTTTTTAGCCATTCCACAGTCTTGGATGCAAGTTTAAAGTTGACCAGGCCTTTTCAGTAACTGTCCGAAGACTATGGAGCATTATCCTATATTTCATAAAGGCATTCCCCTAAATAGATATCAAATCTGAAAACCTGTTTATTCTCTATGCACTCAGTCATCTGTTCTTTCCCATCCTCAGTAGTTTGTATTACAGTCTTTTCCTGTTTCTTTTTTTATTTGTTTTTATCTGCATGTTATTTTCCTTCTCGGTTTATTGTGCAGTTTTTACTAGTTGTGTTGTAAGTCTCTTATTTTTTCCATGGTTAAGTTCATACATTTTCATTTTAGCTGACTTGTGCAGCACCTTGACTTACAGGTGTTGTGTTTTAAATGTGCTATATCTTGGTAATTTAGAAATATGATTGTCTGAACTCATCTTGGAAGTAAAAGGTTTGAAACCATATTAAACAAACCCTACATAAGCCAGTTCCTACAACAATATTGTAGTGTTGGTGTAAAAGAAGACATAGACAACATTGAAAGCTCTTTTGTTTTGAACTGGCACTTCAACAGAGGCAACGAAATGCCCAGCCCAGTGCTACCCCAACACGAAACACAGGGAGGAGGACACGATACACAAGGAGTGTTGACACTTCGAACCATTATTTACACTACAAAGCCCACCCTGTTCAGACGCAATTAAAATCATAAACAACGACTCAAACGACAACATCAGCAACAACAACAACAACAGCGCCAATAACTGTTTTAAACCGAGAACATTCTGAGAGCCACTTTGCATGGCCACACCGCATACTTCAGGCAGCATGGCCTGTGGCGGACGGCATTATATAAATATTTATGCCTTGAATAGTTACTGAAGGATTAATTAAAAACTGGAAAATGTAATAATAATAAATTAAATGCCTGCCTTACATCCTTCAAATGTCAGTCTACAGCTGCCATATAAAGTATTAAACGCTCTGTTGAAAAGGGGATAAACACCACCCTTATAGTGGTAATCCCATACTGTTGATAATCCCATACAAATGGAGAAATTAGCATTTTGCTAGCACTGACAAGCAGATAAACAAAAGCTATTTACAAAGTGAAGTTTTCAGTATAAACCACATGACTGGTGATTATAAGAAAATGTGATTATATGCAAAGCTGATTACTATGTACCTGCTAAAATATGTAATCTATAACCTAATCCAAAGGATTACTATATTAAAGTAACATAATCTGATTACTTTCCATGACTTTGGATTAGTTCTATTTTGTTTTTGTTTTTTTTTAGCTACACCTTCTTTAATTAACTTTACACTAGGACATAAACTATAATCCACAGCAGTGGTTGACTGTGGCATGGTATAATTGATTACTGTGCAAAGAGACAGGAGTACTTGTAAATATTAAGAGTCAAATCAATATTTTCATTTTTTTTATTATATGTATTATTTCAATGATCCTGAGAGGTAAAAACAGCTACTGTTTTCTTTTCTAGTTTCCAGTCATAGGTAAGAAAATAATGAGTGTCTATTTATAGCATATTCTTTAAGAACAACAATTCTTTCTGTTGTATTACTATAAACATTATGGCTGTGTCTTAAACTGAAAAATTAGAATACATGCTTTTCAATTGAAGTGTTTAGAGTTTTTAAAGGTGTTTCTTACCTGTTATGGCTGGTAAAGCTGCTCTGTTTGTGTTTCTGCCTCCTGCAATGTATGGTGTCTGTAACTAAAGAGGAATCTAAAGCCAGTACAACTGTTTTGGTTTTGTGCTCCTCCTTAATTATGATAATTTACATGACGGCTCACTGAACAAATGCAAATCAGTTCACGCAAAGAGCAGACTTGTACAGTATAGCTGCACTGTGTAAGTGCTGAGGATTTGGAGCCCTCTCTGGTGGAAATGTGTAACTGCATGCAATGTGCAGAAGAGCATTTTGTAATGAGGGTTGGGCTTCAGACCCCCTACCTGAGCGGATGAATCTGATGATTGAATACCCTATTAATGCAATCACAAAGAGAATTGGGTGAATGACGTGTCGTCTGAGGATGTGAGTGAATTATCTACTATGGCCATCATATCTTCATCAGTATAATGTTGATTTTGAGACCCTCTGAGACCTAAACTATGAGCCAAAACTCGAGCCTGAGCATTGTTAATATGCATATGTTAATATGTAAAGACATAGGAGGTGGTCTTGAAAACTCCTGACCTGACGCCTCTGACATTTCAATAATTATTTCTTTTGCAGGGTGACTAACAGCAAAACATGGGACCAAATGGGGTGCCCAAACTTTTGCAGGCGACTTTATTCATATCATGATGATGACAGACAAAAGTCAAAACTGAATTTTTCAAGGCTTCACATGAGTATTTAGCACTTGGTATCTTGGTCACCAACCCTTGCCTTGAAAACTCCCTTTTTGCAGAGTCTTGTTCCAGCTACAATCTGCCACACCAGCTCCAGCTAATTAACTTCTACAGAAGTTCTTGACTGGCTGGATGAGATGCATTAGCGTTGGGTAAAGGGGGAGGGGCAGCATGTTAGCTGCAGATGGGAACTAAAGCTATGTGCAAAATAGCATACTGTGTACTGTACGTGCATACTGCTCCTGTATATCGCTGTTGTCAGAAGAAAACCTTGTATCTCCAAAATGGTAACTTTACAGGAAAAGGAAAAAACGTACTTTACTTTTAATGTAAGTCAATGGAACCAGACTTTTTGTCAATGTAATTTTGGGTCACTTCCATTCATCATGAAATTTACACACAATGTAAAAGTCAACAGGCATTTTCAAATTATGTCAAAAACTGAAAAACAGCAGCGAAATACTGAATACCTGCATGAATGAATTACTGTATACTGTACAGAATTCAGACTGTTCTAATGGGAGGCTGAAAAGGTCTCCTCCATGTTTGGAAATGTAGTAAAAGTTTTCATGCGTAGTATACAATCATATCCTGTTGGAAGACTCTTTGTCATGTGTTTGAAGCAGCCTCTCTCATCTCCTTCAGTTCTCAGACAGCCATTAAGATGGTGTCACGAAATCGGTTTCTGGTTCATGAAGGAGAGGAGAAGGATCTAAAGGAAAAAGCAGTGATTTTGTTCACAAGTGTCTGACTAGTTCTGTTGCCTTACAGAATCCTTCGCCTACAATGCAGACAGTGGATTCTGAGGCTCTTCAAAAGGCCATTACTAATCAAGGTAGGACAACATCAGCAGTTGCTGGCACTGTTCAATCAGTCTCAGTTCAATCAGACTCAGTAGAGCCCCTGGTTCAGCAACAGACCGAACAGGAATCGCAGTTAGTTCAGTTAGTAAGCAGTGTTACAGATTTGACTGCTCAGCTTCAATCCCTGGGTTTAGTTGATCAGGTTAATCCTTCTCCTAGTCTCCCTACACCCAGAGAGGTTTCCAGTGCTACTTTTTCTGTCAGTAAGATGGACAAATCTTTTTCACTATCTACCCTCAGAGTTCTGATCTGGTTGTCTTTTTTAATATCCCATCTCACAGATAATAATATAATTATTATCTTAATATGTATTAATATAATAATAATTATTATTATGTAATATAATGATATCTCTCCTTTGATCAGTTTTGAGCAGTGTTCGATCACCCTCACAAAGGGAAAGCAGTGGGGAATTGTTGTCAAAACTCTACCAAGGCAATCGCTCAGTTTCAGAGTATGCTCTGGAGTTCCATACCTTAGCCACAAATAGTGGGT